ATTTATTATATTATATTTATTATATCTATTTATAATACATATAATATAATATATCTATTTATATATATATATAATATAAATCTATAATATATATTATAGATTTATATTATAGATTATAGATTATTATATGTAATATAATAAATCTATATATAAATAGATATAATATTATATGTATTTATTTATACTAAATTACATCTACAACTAGCTTAATCGATCTACCCAGCAAATTCGATGAATTAATATTATATAGCTTGCATAAAAATGAAAATTTTGCAGACAGCTCTTATCGTTTCCAAAAAAGAGAAGCATAGATACAGTAAATTGCCAATTAGCAACAACAACAACAAAAAACGAGCCGCAAGGCTCGAATAATCGTATCTTCTCTTCCCAAATTCATTCTTCCATTTCTGTGCACAATCCGAGCATCAATTAGGGAGAATTTAGATCCTAAACGAGCGGCAGATCGTCAACGCACCATTATGTTACGATGAATGAAGCCGCGTCTTAATCGAGCGGGCCTCAGATGAGGGTACTCTTCGGTGCTGGTGACCTTGATGTTCCACACCCTTTTCCACGCCTCGTACAGCCCCTCGTGGACCGGATAGACGCCTGAGTGATGAGGACTTACGCTGTACCCGCTTCCGGTCGGGATCCCGTGGTCTTTCGCGAACTGTTTGTTCAACGCCATGTCCAGCTGCAGGTGCGTCACATTCTCGTAGAGGTGGGGCTGCTGATGGTTCCACATGTGAGAAAACCACGTAAATCTGCAATTCAGAAAGCGTAGCCTGGTTGTATATTTGAAATTCTCCCCGAACTTTCCGCGGTACCAGCTTCCGACGGCCGAACACGCGCGGGTACGCGGCGCGAACTGTTGCCTCCGATACTATCCGAAACCTATAATAGCGATATACCGGACCTCCGATAAAACGATGCCGGCTACAACTTCGTTTTTCGCTACTGTAATTCCCGAGCAATTTATTCCGAGATTTTCCCTGCGGTGGAAATTGATCGCTCGCTCGCTCGCTCGCTTGCTCGGCGACCACGAAACCGTTCTCTTTCTTTTCTTTCCGTGGAACAGACACGTTTTCTTCGCGACACGAACGGAACCGGTGGATTCAGAACAGAGAGATAGAAGTGGAAAGATGAGGATATAATCGTTCTGTTTTGAAACGCTTGTAAAGCCAGCGAATTTTATTGAAATATATGAGCCGTCGAAAGCAGAAACGCTGGAAGTCCGGCAAGTTAATTCGTGCAGAATGAAGGACGAATTAAAAGTTCTGTAAAACGTGATAATGTAGAAAATTGTTACGATCTTTTTTCTTTCGTGTAAGCCACTTTCGAACTTGAACATAAAATAATTGGAATGTTAAGCGAAATATTGAATTAAACGTGATTTGATAATGTTAAATTTCATTTAGTAATATTGAATGTCATGTGATAATATTAAATGTCATTTAATAATATTAAATACTATGTGATTATATTACATGAACCCAGCAAAAAATTCACTTATACCATTTTTACTTTCAGACGGCTCATATTTGAATTGCTTGTTCCGTCGTTCATCGATTCTAGATTTTTGTTCAAACACGAAATAAATCGTTCAATGAACGCGACACTAAAATTAGCGACATATTAATGAGACAATTTTAAGACGAACATAATTATTTTTCTTTCTCCTTAAAATTCTGATCAAATCGTTTATAAGCGAACAAAGCGATCTTAACCCTTTGCACTCGAGTGGTGACTCTGAGACACCACTAAAAAATTGTTACGCCACGTTCCAAGATAATTTTTATAATATCAAAGCTTAGGAATAAAGAATTGATAAAAGTCTAACTGTTGTATGAGTCACACAAGACTCAATTCCGTATGCATAAAATGCACTTCGCCACTAAAATGGAAATACCATAAGTCAAAAAAGTTAATTTATATTTTCCAGTTAATATGGCTTCGAGTGCAAAGGGTTAACTAAGATCGCAGCGTAATTGGAGAATCTGAAATTCTCAAGAATAAAGTCTTCGTTACAGTTTCCATAAACATCGCATCTTCATCGAGACGAGATGTAAATGGTTCATTGAACGATCAGAAAATGTACGAAGACGCTCTTCTCTTACGTTCCGATCCAATTTATTCGAGCTGAACGACGGTCGGATCTAACGCGGCGCAATAATTGGGTAGGCAATAAAGCTCGGACGGGCTCGAATTTCACAGTAAAACAGGCCCGCGGATTAATTGAAAGATAAAGTTGCACAACAGGTTACCACGGCCGCCGGGGAATATTTATCGTCGGCTACGGACGAGACTTTACGGGCCCGGCTGTCGTTACCTTTCATTGAATCCTCGTAAATGGGTAACAGTATCACGCACCTGTCGACGTTCTCCAACAGCATGTCGTCCCCCAGATTCTCCTCGGCGGTGCCATGATGGAAGTACTTCCCGGAAAACCCCAAGTTGAATTTAAAGCCGGGCACCAGGGCCTGGATCCTCTGCTGGGTGGCCAGCAACGCCATCACGTCGTCCTTCCTCAGCCTGGTGCCTTTCTCGCCGACGAATATGTCGTCCACGTCCACCAGGATCATGCGATTCAGGCTGAGGCTCAGCTGGCCGTGCGATAAGTATGACAGCGAGTCGAGCAACAGCAAATTGTGCAGCCAAAATCGGAGACCGCCGCCGAAAAACACCCTCTGGATCCCGTCGTACCTCCCGTGATCCTGAATTGAGGCAGAGAGCAGCGTGAGATTTAACAGTTCGTTAATGGCTTCTTATTGATTCGCGATAATTAGACTGCGGATCTTTGTGCGAATTAAACGATTTCCAAGACGATTGTGAGAATCAGAAATTAGACAGGCATTAATCGTTAATTTTAATTATTTCGACAAGTTAAAAATAGTGTTATTGTAGTGTTATTGTTAACACTGATTTATTAATTTATACTAATTTATTATATACTTAATATATTTATACTTACTATAATTTATTATATAATATGTTAGTTAACACTAACATTAATAGTGTTACTGTCAACAGTGTTATTCATAATATACTAACTTTATAATATACTAATATATTATATAATATGTTAACACTAACATTAATAGTGTTACTGTCAACAGCGTTATTCGTAATATACTAACTTTATAATATACTAATATATTATATAATATGTTAACACTAACATTAATAGTGTTACTGTCAACAGTGTTATTCGTAATATACTAACTTTATAATATACTAATATATTATATAATATGTTAACACTAACATTAATAGTGTTACTGTCAACAGTGTTATTCGTAATATACTAACTTTATAATATACTAATATATTATATAATATGTTAACACTAACATTAATAATGTTACTGTCAACAGTGTTATTCATAATATACTAACTTTATAATATACTAATATATTATATAATATGTTAACACTAACATTAATAGTGTTACTGTCAACAGTGTTATTCATAATATACTAACTTTATAATATACTAATATATTATATAATATGTTAACACTAACATTAATAATGTTACTGTCAACAGTGTTATTCATAATATACTAACTTTATAATATACTAATATATTATATAATATGTTAACACTAACATTAATAGTGTTACTGTCAACAGTGTTATTCATAATATACTAACTTTATAATATACTAATATATTATATAATATGTTAACACTAACATTAATAATGTTACTGTCAACAGTGTTATTCATAATATACTAACTTTATAATATACTAATATATTATATAATATGTTAACACTAACATTAATAGTGTTACTGTCAACAGTGTTATTCATAATATACTAACTTTATAATATACTAATATATTATATAATATGTTAACACTAACATTAATAATGTTACTGTCAACAGTGTTATTCATAATATACTAACTTTATAATATACTAATATATTATATAATATGTTAACACTAACATTAATAGTGTTACTGTCAACAGTGTTATTCATAATATACTAACTTTATAATATACTAATAACTAATACTAATTTATACTATTAACTAATACTAATTTATTAATTAACGCTAACATTAATAGTGTTACACTGTCAACAGTGTTATTCAATTTTTCTTTACTCAATTTTATATTTCAGTTGCTCGATTTTGCCATAAAACCATAAAATCCGCAATCTTAGTTATCATTTTCTGGCGAATTTTTTCTTAAAGATTTTTAAATCTACTTTCCCAAGAATTGATAGTAATTCGATCGGACTTTTATGTGTGCGATTTAAATGCGAATTTTCTACGATGATTACAAGATGTAAGAGCGAACAGAAATTCGTTCGTTCCTCCAGGAATTTTAGTAAGTAAAAATGGATACCGGAGAGTTTCGCGATGCTGTCGTAAAAGGTGTTTGCTCTCTTCTGCCGCAAGTATGACTCATTCTACATAGTTAGGAGGCAACGATATTGTGTAGTCGAGTATGAATCGCCCGGAGCGTTTGTTTTGATTTCGTGGCTTCGACAGTGCCGTGGTCGAACGGTCGAAGGGACCGTTGTAACGCTGTCATCTTCTAATCGTTTTTTCCACAAAGACTCTCGTGAACATGTGTTGGTTACTTTACACGTTGGTTATTTTACATCGTACAGTAATGTCTCTCCAATTGACGCTCAGATTGCGCACGAAAATGAACAATGTGGAAAGTGGAGATACGATTATTCGAGCCTTGTAGCTCGTTTTTATAGTTGTCGATAATTCATAACTATAAAACGAGGCGCAAGACTCAATTTAATCGTATCTCCTCTTCCCAAATTGTGCATTTTTGTGCGCAATCCACGCGTCAATAAGGGAGACATTACTGTATCGCTATTTCGCTGGGTACACGCTGTGCTACAATTGTTGAGTTCGAATAAACATTTCACTGTAAGGATTAAACCGCAACAATATTCTTGTAAGCGTAATTCGTAACTGTAAAACGAGGCGCAAGACTCAATTTAACACGTTCCGTGCCACGTGTACCATCGATGGTACACGCTTGCATGTTTACTTAGTGAACTGAACAAATTGTTTACAAGAAATTTAGAACCGAAGAATCAATTTCCACCGCAAGAATGGGCGTTGATAAGTTTTTGTTACGTTGTTATGTGTACGAGAATTAATAATTGCACATAATACATCAAGTTTTAGTAAAATATCAAAGTGTGAAGATTCGAGTAAAAAAAGCTCGGCACGGAACGTGTTAATCGTATCTCCTCTTCCCAAATTGTCCATTTTTGTGCGTAATCTAAGCGTCAATAAGGGAGACATTACTGTATCGCTATTTCGCTGTGGTACACGCTGTACTACAATTGTTCAGTTCGAATAAAAATTTGACCATAAAGATTAAACCGCAACAATATTCTTGTAAGCGTGCAAAATTCGCGCTGATATTTTAGATATTTTAGCTCTAGCTGGAAATTGAAGGGTTCGACTCAACTGTTGATAAGATTAAGCAACGTGTCGAATAAAACGGACTAATAACATTCCGGTATTTAATATTCCGGCGACGCGGGGCTCGCCGCGGGCAGAAATTATCCGACACGATGAAAATTAATTAAAGACGTAACGAGAATGCGATCTTGCCGGCGTCCCGGAGTTCCAAGCCTTCTATTCCATAAAATGCACTCGCTTTGACATTATGCGTCGCTTTCTCCGCGAAAGAGAAATATATGTGGCGGCCACTTATATGCCCTCGTAAATTTCGAGAATGGCGATACACGTACGAAAAAGAAAAAAACCGCACGAAAAGACCGCGTGTCACGACGCTCTAAAGCCGGAAACGCCGAGAAATTGCAGCATATTCATCTCATTGAATTGCGAACTTTTTACGGAGCAGTTATTAGACCTCGCGAATGATTTATAGGCCGGTTACACGCGAGCCGAGTACAAGCCACGCTTTAATAAAACACCGTCTTTTGTTTTAATCTCTCGGAACGGCCAACGGAATCGAGGAAATTTTTCTTGCGAACGGGCCGCTGCTGCTCGACCGCGTCGGATATCTCGGCGCGAAAACGGCGAACACCGTTTTACATTTGTAAGAAGAAATCGAGGACCGATTTAGGGGCGTCGGATTCCGCCGTTTGAAGCGTACAATCGGCGGAATGCGGCGCGCTAATCTGCTTTTGTCTGATCAGAGAGCAGTTATGTTTGATCGGAGGCTGGAATCGCGGTTTCGCCGGCATTCTCGCTCGGAACGGCTGCTATCTACCATACATGCATCGCTGTTCGCAATTAAACAGACACTTCCAGTTACAACGGGATAAAACAGCGATCTCATTCGACATTTACATTTCCATTCGCGCTCGTTAGTTTCAATCCCGGCGAATTTTACTTCGCCCCCGAAATTAAATTCCGCGGTTTCGCGGAGCGAAATCGTGGAACGCGGAATCGTTTGTACCGTTCTAAAATCGGTATAAAATGATTAACTTGTTATCGCGAGCGACAGTTCATGAGGAAAGCCGTGAAATAATAGTCCAAGACTATTGGAAGCAGATTTTGGATGGATTTTTACGCTAATTGCTGGCTAAATCGTATCTGTTTCGTTGCTATGCTCGCCTTAACCCTTTGCACTCGAGTAATGAATCAAAGGCGCCACTAAAATTTGTTACATCACGTTTTAAGATAATCTTTGTATTAACAAAGTTTAGATTTAAAAAATTGTTAAGAGTGTATATGCATATGCATAGAATGCATTTTATCGTATGAAATAAAAATACTATAAGTGAGAAAATTGATTTTATATGTACAGTTAAAATAGCTTCGAGTGCAAAGGGTTAATATTCAGATGCCTTTTAAAACAGAATAACTTCTTCCAGATTGAACGAGATGACTCGAATTTTTTGGAGATGATGGAGAGGCCAGTTTACTGTGCAATGACTGAAAAACTATTTTTTAATTTCGCTGTTACTTGGAACGTCAAAATTCAACAATGCAAACCAGTTAATGTACTGGCAAGTTCTTTTCGTTATAAGCTCAGTTAGGAAAGTTGAAAAAAAGCCGAGTTTCTTATCTTTTCTTTCACTCCAACCAATTGCAATTTGTCGACAAAATTTCGCGAACATTGCCTGGTGATTAGTCTTCTTTAACATCCATGAATACAAGTCATTCCTTTTAAAGTCAAAAGTCATTCATTCTAAAAGCTTTCTGAAAGCGATTTTCAATCATTCTTCAGTACAGAAAATTCTCCCCAATTTTCCTTCAGCCTGTAAACAAAAATGGACAATTTGGCGAGAGGAGAAATAACTTCGTACCTCGTTTTTTATAATTATCTGCGATCGGCAGCTATAAAAAATGAGCCACGAGGCTCGAACGATGAAATCGTCCAAATCATTCCTTTCAAAGTCAAAAGTTATTCATTCTAAAAGCTTTCCGAAAGCGATTTTCAATAATTCTTAATCATTCTTAAGTACCAGTAAATTCTCCCTAATTTTCCTTCAGCCTGTAAACAAAAATGGACAATTTGGCGAGAGGAGAAATAACTTCGTACCTCGTTTTTTATAATTATCTGCGATCGGCAGCTATAAAAAATGAGCCACGAGGCTCGAACGATGAAATCGTCCAATTGTCAAAATTGCTCATTCTCTGATTGAAAAAAGCCGAAGAAAAATTAAGGAGAATTAACCGTAGATCGCGAAGATGCGTATGGAAATCTGATCGCACCACACGATGCACGATGTTGCGGCAAGTTCCGAAATAAAAC